TGGTGTCGAAGGCAGACGATAAGTCAAGCAAGACTAGAACAACATCGTGATTGTCAAGCGCTAAGTTGATGTTGTTGGAAACTCGCAGCAAGGCTGTTTCAGTGCTATGATATGCACGGTAAGCTGACTGAGTTTTGGTATACAGGTTATTGATGACCAGATGGTGCTTAAACTGCATTGCTACTACGTGTTCGATCATCTTACCAAGGAAGGGAAGGTTGCTGATTGGACGGTAGTTCTTCAGTATTTCATGGTCGAGATCTGATTTTTTCAATAAAGGTGTTACAAGGCCGTGCTTGAAGGTGGCAGGGAACTCTCCAACCTCTAGCGATCGATTTATTACAGAGGTAATAGAAGGCAGCAATACGTTGATACCCTTTTTCAGTAAACTGGTCGGAAGTGGATCCAGTGAACAGGACTTGGAAGGCGCTGCCATGATGGATTGTTTTACATCTTGAAGCGAAACTGCCTTGAACTTCGATAAAGTGGAAGAAGGCTGTTCTTGATACCTCTCTAGGCCCCCGTCACTCTCCATTCTAGTAACATGGGGCATGAAGATGGCACAATAAATGCATTTCAAACAAAACATGACATTTACTGTAGTGATTTCTACACTTGAAAGACACTGACTTCATTTTATTAGAGGCAAGTACATGTGTATAATATAAACACTGATTATTTGTATACTCAATGCAACCATGATGTGAACACTGCATCTACTCAATTTTGGTTGTTTCTACAATTTGTACTTCTTGAGGTATGCCCTCCAGTTCATAACGTGAAATTCTCAAGTCCAATAATGTGAATGCTTCATGACATTGCTGTTTCCAACCACAAGTCATCCATAATATAAACAATACATCAGTACAGGTTTGGTTCTTACTACTCCTACTCAGTTAAGTACAAAGTTTGAATCTTGTGCTGAGTTACTCATTTTCTATTGGAATTGCAGATACTTTCTCTACCAACTCTCTTGCCCCAGGCAACAGGACTGGGTAAAGTGGACCCCGCCTTTGTTTGCAAAGAGGGCACTTCACATCCTTCTTCCCCACTAGGTGCTCGATACATGGCACGCAAAAGACGTGATTGCAGTATGATACCACATATGGTATTTCATCATTAGGTGGGATCAAACATATGGGGCATTTAAACATTTCTTTTGGAAAGATGGCAATATCCTTCAATACAGACTCAGGTCCCTTCAACATAAAGTTATGTACTTTTTCCACTTTTTCATCCATGGCAACAATTTTAGCCGTGAGAGGGTTTACGGCTTCCTTCACAGCTCCAGCTGCTGAGATACCCAACATTGCTTTTGACTGTTGTTGTCCATCGTACTTGCTTTCCCAAGCACATGACAAAACTGCAAAGATTTTTCTTGTCCCTGACCAGTATTTACCTATTCAAAGAATGCAAAATGTCTCTGTTTAGCACTGACTGAATAACAACAAAAGGTAACAAAGTCTGTAGTTAACTACCAAGACTACAATGAAAAGCAGTACAATTCAAAATTTATTCATTCATATACAATGTATTATTAATAGTTAATTGAAAATTATTTGTCTTAATTTGTTAAATACTGTACTGTAAACTTTCATATGTAATACTGTAAATGATTCATTGAAACTGAGTAATTCTGGTAATTTTTATTGATGAACACCATGTATTAATTGTTCCAAACAGAAAAGATAATGAGCACGTAACAACAAAAACGAGAATTAATTTTGACCCCTCTCCTGGGAAATTCACTTCACTTCCAGGGGGGGGGCTATAGTAAAAATCCTTTCTTCCGAGATAGAGCATTTAGCCACAACTCCGAACAACCGGGGTAAGGGACCTCTGCTTGTAGGGTATTCTATCTAGTTTTCCTTAACATAAAACAGCGCAAGTTTTTTAAACCTGATTACCTTGCAGTGAAGTCTGTATGTGTGATTACAATCAGCAAAATGGAAGAAAAATTAGCCTGTGAGCAGGTTCACCTTTGAGTCACACATGCCAGCAGTGAAGAGCAAAGCTATCCGGCAGGAAAGAATCTGGTGATCTCACATGCTAAAGCAAAAACTGCGCTGGAAGGTGCTGGAATTTTGACAACGCCATTTTGAATTCCCATGAGACGACCACTGTTCAGTGTGCTCAAGCAAGCGTAATACAGGTACATACTTTATTATAATGTAAAAAGATGGAAAAAATAATAAGAAAAGAAAAAAAGAATTAAAGAACTTACCCACTCTTCTTGGTTAGTCATTTAGAGACAGGTAGTTGCTGTCATACCAAGCAATGGTGCTCAGGGGTTGTACTAACTCCCTACCGACCAGCTCTCTTAACTTTGCACACGTGGTTGAGTCCGCATTAAGTTAAGCAATTCTTCTCAAGTTTGATCTTCTGATCGGTCCCTTAGTTCCCCACTGTTGCCTTAAAAACCACTCATTGCCACCATCCAAACCAGCGGAGGCTGCTGTTTGCCATGCGTTTGTCCGCCTTTTTCCCTTTAAATTTCTTTCTCCATTTCTTCGAGTTGGTAGCCAGCCAATAAGCCTCCCTTCTAAAATCCGCATCATCAGAACTGCCGGAGTCACTTGAAATAATCTTGGGTACTTTGCCTCTATGACTGTTTGGCCATGAGTTCCCATGTTCAACTGTAAATGCCACATAGGCATCTAAATTGGGAAATGTTCCATTCTCATTCAGCAACACAATTGTAAGATCGTCAATGAACACACGCCATGTTGGATAGAACTAATTTAATGCGATATCACGTGATACAATGTAGGTGCGCACTGCGTGCAGAGGAACGGATATTACATTCCTCCCAAACTAACAAAAGCTTGTAACTCTAGCAAAGTTCAATCCGATAACGAAACTTAAATCAACTGTTAAGCTAACACATAGTCCTTCAAANTGTCAATAAGATTGAATAACTGTTTCTGATTGGAGTTTGAAATCTTATTGCTAAAATGTGCTCTCTTTGCTTCCTTTATAGCTGCATAATAGTTGCACGCAGAATCTCTCAGGAGAAATACAGTCCAACTCCTTTTTTAGACAAATATGAGGTGTGGTAGCCTCAGGGTTGGTGCACTCATCTCTGGATTGCGCAGTCCAGGTTTGAGCCCTGGCAAGGATGATTGTGTTGTGTTCTTGGGCAAGACACTTAACTCTCACAGTACCTCTCTACACCTAGGGGTATAAATGGGTACCAGCAAATTTAATGATGGGGATAACCCTGCGATGGACAAGTATCCAATCCAGGGGGAAGTAAAAATACTCGTAGTTGCTTTATGCTACAGAAATTGGAGAAAGCCACTTCGGTAGTATGCATGCTTCACCTATGAGGCTAGATATTGCTTATATTTATGAGTAAGGATCATTTGCAAACTTGAATAAATTTCCTAATATCAACAACAGAAGAGAAAAACAAGAAGAGAAAAAGACTGTTGCAGGCTTATAACAGGTTATTGTCTCTCTCTATTGTTATTTTTGTTGGGTTGCTGTAACAATCACTGGTATTCATGTACGCCCCAAGAAGGAGAGTGGTAATATGGAGTGAAGTTACTATACAGTCTAGCTAGGAAGAAAATAAATTCCATGCCACCTTGATGACCAATTTTATTGACATAAATTTCCATTTTCTTTGATTATTATCATTCTTAACAGCAAGGTACAAGTGACTAGCTTAACACAAAAAACAATTTCAGCCACATTTCTAAATAATATTTGTGTTAATAGATTAATTATTAATTTACAACTCAACAATGAATGAAAGGTCAAGTTTTTGTCACAATTTATCTTTGTAATCAAATGTGCACGGAGCCAGCGTAACACAAGACAGATTATAAGTACCTAGTAGATAATTCTACAACTCGACTATAATAGGTGTAGCATCCAATGAAATAACTTCAACAGTTATCAGTGATAACAAAGTTAATAAAAAAATACTAGATGAACCCAACAGTGATTGATAAAAAAATGAAAGAAAATTCTAACTATATTAATCACAAAAATAATAATGCATCACTGATCATGCACTTAAATGATATCAAGTAATAATTTGAATACATGTAATTGTATTTATAATATATTAAGTTACTCTGAATTGTATTACCCATAAATCTTGAGAATCTCTAGTCTGTTTTAATAACAATTGTTCTTGTTAATTATATATTAAAGGAATATTTTTAGGGGACTGAATGTAAACAGAAATGGTAACAACAAAGGGAGAGTGCAGATTGTCTGTTTGAATAACAATAACAATCAATAACAATAATAAATACTATTCTAAGAACACAATGACTGCATAAAAATTTAAAGCTACATAAGACATCCTAGGATTCCACCTCAAACAACCCAACAGTAACATTACTATTCTCAGGCTTTGGTATACCAACTCTCTACACAAGTCCAGGTACAGTTTTGATTAAATTTTAAGGATGTAATTGTCCTGCACAATAGCATGATTTAACATTGTCATATACACTGTTTCACACTAATAAACAGCAGCTGTAGTTTTATAATTTTGGTAAAAACATTGTAGCCACAAAATGAATAAGATTCATAATTTTCAAGTTGTTCATTCAGCATGATTGTCAGTAAGCAACTGTGGTGATTTGTTAGTATTAAGTATGGTACTTCACAATATTAGTCTAATCTTAAGGCATACTTCACCTGGACAAACACTCAACAAACAACTGTTACTTCCAGGACTTAACTTTCAGTCTACTACTACAAAAATGCTGACTAAATAAATTTAGTTCCTTCAAAGCCTTATTTTGAAAGCACAGCTATCAGAAAAGGGTTATCATATGCCTTGACTATTCTTCCTAAAAAAATGTAAGTACCTTTCAGAAATTCCCCAATACAAACTTGCCATGCGTAATTTTCCACCGGCTTAAACTGCAAAACACCCTTTCCAAAACTACTCCACAAACCAGTAAGGGTTTAAAATTTCTTGATCCTCCCAATAATAACCATGATAATATTCTGTTTTAAACCTTTCATTCAAATTTATCCTTAACTATATCCAATACCGTTAACAATTTGTCCTATCTAATAAAGCTCATTTACATGTAGATGCAAATTTTGTTTCAAAAGTTGCCATAACTAATAGCTTATCTTTTTTTGAGTTTCAAATCTTTGCATAACTGGGTAAGGTGACACTATTTTAGATTGCTCTGTCACAAATATCAGAGGTCAGTCTGGGCTTGATTTCGTTGCTCTCTCAGGTCTGGTTCTCTTCCTAAACTCAGGGGGAGGATCACAGGCTCATTTCCTAAACAGCAGCCAGCTTCTTTTTTCCACAGCTGATCTTTAGTTGAATGATTAATTACCCTTCAGACTACACTTTGAGATATTTCTAATCAATGACAGCAGGCAAAGAATATTATTGTTAAAAAAGTGTGACCAAGCACATTCAATCTCAGATAATGAAGTTTATATAAATAAACTTTATCAATAATTATCTACAAATGCCATATTGTTTCCACTTTGTCCCTTTCAGTTACATTTTACATTCTTCCTTCCCTCATTTGTTTACTGGCACCGATTGCTTGCTCTTTTATAATTTTAATGAGACTCATTTTGTCTTTCCTATTTATTCCTGTTTTTCATTCATTCATTCATTTCTCCATTCATTCATTCATGCATGCATGCATCTATGCATTAATTCAGACACTTTTTGCATTCTTTGAAAGTCAATGAACATGGAGCAAACACAAAATGCAAAATGATACAAAAATAATTCTATAAAAGAACAGAAGTGAGATAAAAAAATATTTCTATAAAAAGAAACAAATTTTAAATTATTGAATGTGACAACTAAAACAGTGGACATCACATCTTCACATCAGATCTCCACTGTAAACTTCTCAATCATATTGAGAGCCAACTGAATTGGCATTTACTCACTAATGAAGTCTAGAAAATAACAAAAATCTTTACATATTTCATATTGCTCAACTAATACTTTTCAAAATTCACAATTGTGGTAAGTTTCATATTACTCTAGGGTTAGTCATATGATATGACTCCCTTGCAAGGCAAATTTCATTTGCTATCATTTGATTCTAAGGAGTACTATGTGACAGGACTAACGCAGCTTCTAGACACAAGAATCCAATCTTGATTTCAATCAACAATAATATTGCATTTCAGCAAACCTAACTGATAATTCCATGGCTGCTCCCCAAAAGGTTCAGTGATTACTGTCATAAAACTATTAACACAATTCCTGTTTGATAATTACCATCAATGGAATACAATCCAGTGGACTTTAAGATACCAAATATTTATTTATTTATTTATTTAACATAATGTAAATAAGCTTTTATTGATTCCATTTAACTGATTTTGTTTCTGTTATATCTGCGCTTTGCTCTTCACAGTGTCTCATGAATGGCAGCAACAATAGGCCCAGCTTTGGTCTGAAATATAAACAATTGAATTTTTTTCACTCTGTTAATATTACTGACTCAGTTGGTATGAACTGACCTACAAAGCAGAGCACAAATTACATTCATACAGCAGTTTTTAAATTAGTTTCACACCCAAAAACAATAAATTGAAAGCAATCACAACAACTGATAAGAACTAAGTCCCAATACAAGTAATCAAAGCCAACTTCAGCAAAAACACAAACAACAAAGTTGTGAAGGGCTAATCTGATTGTTTGAATAGAAAAAGTGGTGACTCCCAAAAACATGATGCTGATTCCAAATACTCTGTGCCACTTCAAGTGGTACTCACCTTGTATTCTGCAAATACATGGCAAACATATTTTCCTCCTCCCATGCTTTGTATGAGACCAAAATGGCTTCTGTTACTGTAACAAAAGCACACAAGATAAATATCTTCAAATTATAACAAAAACAAATTATCACCAAACACTGAGGAAATCCAAGAAAGGTCATCGGATCACCCTTTCCCAGCATCACAAACAAATTCATCACAACATCATAACTTACAATACAATTTTTTATGCCTTAAGCTTCTGAAAGCCAAACCTCTAACACTGTACAAAACAATGCTTAATTGCCATCATATTACACTGTAAATGATCCTGTCATAAGAACATACCTTGTAAGACCACAGTATGATATAGTATCAGCATCCAGGTTCCTCTTTGACAATGAACTCCGTTGACTGTCGTAAAGCGTCACGCCATTAAGAGCGACATCCAACTGACAAACTAACAGAGTTCCTCCAGCCAGATGCTAAAACAAAATAAATGATATTATATTACCTACAACAAAAACCGTGCAGCCATGGGCTGAGTGCAGTTCATGTTCTGCACAGGGTTTATTTTTTAATTATTATTTTTTTTAGTTTTGTCAGTGACTAAACCCAAACTTCCTCTCTGCCAAATTTTGAATCACGCAACCTGTGATGTTTATTCGCCAAAAGCTACTGAAACATTAATACATGGACAATGTTACGGATATTGTTTTCTTTATTGTGTGTAAAATATATTTTCTTTTGGTTTTATCAAAGCGTTGGATTCGAAGGGAATAATAAATACGCTAAAAAAGGTATTACGTCAGCCATGGAATGTGCTGACACTGTAGCTTTCACTTTCACTATGTGACAAATAAGATCGTGTTTACTTTGCAAATTTATTTTGCCAGAAGCGACGGTCATTAATTTACTTGCAGTTTTTGCAAATATTTTTTGTGGGTTTAGGCAAATGAAGTGAAATGAATTCTTTGGCTGTTTCATCGCAGTGGGTTAAGAGATCTGAGGGAAAATTAAATATTTGCTGAGGTAAACAGGAGCTTGCAAGAACTTGCTGCGTTTAGGTCAATGCTATGGGAAAAAAACACAACCATTCTAAAATTAGCTGTGGATGGCATAAACCTCAGATTGTGTGACTCGCGTGACTACTTCGCTTGTTCTTTACACATAGCACAAACAAATTAAAATAATTTTGACTTTAAAGGAAGAAAGCTGTTTATTAATAGCATTATTAATAGTATGACACCCATTTCCTTTTCGTATCATTCATGCACATGTCCTGAGCGAACTTCCAGATTAAGACCATTACATCATCATAGATTTCACAAGGGCTAAGAGCGATCATGGTGCAATAACACAGTTTGCATTGATCAAGTGATATGGTGTCTACAGTAATCAATGAATCATCAAAGACTGCGTTGGAATGTGCACTGCATTGAGACTGTAGTACTAAGAAAACATAATTTCAAAAGCGCGGTTATAAGATAACAGATCTTTTTTTTGTATCAGCTCTCCTTATACACCAGCTTTCAATCTACACTTAGTATTTTTACTCTTCAGTGTTTTGCAGAATATTTCTACCTCCCCAGACAAAAGCTTGTGCCAAGTGGTCAACCTTCCAAGTACTAGTTTCTTAACATGTTTTCTGTTCCATTTTTGATTATTCATTCACAAGCGGTGTAAAATTAGCACAGTAGCAAATAAAATAAGTCAAATTTTATCAATTTTCATGACTATGAATGTTCAATAGTCAGAATATACCCAAGTTGAGGATTTCAATATTCTCATAACATCCCCACTTGATAAAGCAAAGAAAATTTAACTATTGAATATTGTATAAGCACCTTAGCTGCTTCCTCCACTGTCTCTATTCCTGTACCCACAGCCACAGGCAGGGCACCATAGTACTTCACCATAAAGGTATGTGACGGCTTACAAGTTATCACTGGGATGTTGCTGGAAGCTGGTTTGCTCTCAGGTGCATTTCCTTCCTCCTGTTTAATAGTTAAGAGTTTAAATAAGTTACACTACACACTTATCAACATGTTTAATTCTTTTATAACAAAGCAAAAGTTAAAGTGGTACTATGACGAAAATCACATCTTTCCTATCTAAGCCATTTTAAAACATAAACAAGTAGTCCGCATGAGAAGAAAAATGCTGTTTACTATTTTCAAGTATCTCTTTTCGTTCCAGAGATATTCAAGTTTGTAAAATATGCAAATTAGCCAAGTGATGACGTCATAAACTCAACCAAATAGAGATCAAATATTATCAAGAGAGATATCTTGGCCAATTTGTATCAGAGGTGTTTGATTCTCTGCAGTAAGATTCTACTAATTGTGCTGCACAATACGAGCTGAACAGTTTTGTTACCATGGCAACATACTGGGTTCCAGACCTCCCCAATATTAAAGGCTTTTCTGGCCACCTTTGGAGTTCATACATACATACATACATACTTT